CACACAGTTACCGACCCTAGAGTTCACTTACAATAACGCATCACATGCGGCCACAGGGAAAACTCCTTTCTTCCTGTGTTACGGACGGGTTCCACTTACACCACAGAAGCCAACCACACCGGCACACGTCCAAGCCGCACATGACTTCGTCACCACCATGCAGCAGCTATGGGAAAAGACTCGGCGACGACTCACCACGATGCAGACCTCCCAGAAGCAGTATGCCGATCGTCAGCGACGTGATCACTCAGTAGCAGTCGGAGATCAGGTGCTTCTTGACACGCGCAACTTGAACCTGTCTCACCTCCCACCCAAACTCCGGCCTCGCTTCTGTGGTCCTTTTCTCGTAGAGGCACAGGTGACACCAGTTACATTCCACTTGCGCTTACCTACTACTTGGAAGCTTCACAATGCTTTCCATGTGAAGCTACTGAAACCCTACAAGGACCCCAACCAACAGTTCCAGGGACGGCAGCTACCGCCACCTCCGCCTGTTCTTGTGCAGGATGAACCCGAGTACGAGATCGAGTGCGTTCTCTCTCATCGGCGCCGCGGCGGCAAGACCCTCGAGTTCCTGATACGCTGGAAGGGATACGACCCCACTGAGGACAGTTGGGTTGCAGAAGCTGATATGGGCAACGCACGCCGTGCTCTCAAGGACTATCTTGTCAAGCAGGGTGTTTCTCACGCCACCCAGCTTTGAGGGGGGGACGTGTGAGAGTACGACGGCTTATGCCAGCTATATTTGCTTGCCTTTACTTTATCATGCTATTTCTAGCATAGGATAATCATATGCATGCATGAATTGCTTGATTTCCTAGGCTAGGTGCTTTCCTATATTTTATTATAGTTATAGCATCGAGCTAGGTTACGTGCACCGAATTCTGGCCTTTTCGGTTGCCACCGAATTGCCTTCTACCGAATTCGGTAAGGATCTGTTCGGGACGCTACGCGACCCGCGGAACCTTCGCGTAACACCTGGTTACGGGGCCTTGTGTCGAGCCTATATATAGCCTCGTGTTGTACCCAGGTGATCATTCAATTCGACTCAATTCTCATTCTCTTTTCTGAGCTCGATCCTAGATCCTCACACCATGGATAAGGAGTTCAAGGCACAGGAAGAACGCAACACCTGGAAGGTCGTACCTATCAAAGTGGCACAGGTTAAGACCATTCTCACCGGAAAATGGTTTTTCCGCGTGAAAACAAAGGCAGATGGAACCATCGACAAGTTTAAAGCGCGGACGAGACTTAACCGAGACGTTCGCACCGGTCAGCCGGCACACCTCACTGCGGATTCTCCTCACGATAGCCGCCATGAAGCGGAAGAAGCTCCGACAAATCGACGTCGATGCTGAGATTTTCGTCAAGCAACTGCACGGCTCCAACGCAGGCCCCAACCAAGTCTGTCAGCTGCTAAAGTCTCTGTACGGCATCAAGCAAGCTCCGAGGTTGTGGCAGCAGTACCTACACATCCGACTAATCCGGATCGGATTCCGCCAACTACCGCACGACCAGGGTATGTACCGACTCACTAAAGGCAGCGACTACATTCTGCTCATCGTCTATGTGGACGATCTGCTCTACATCGGCTTAACCGACAGCATCACAACCTGGTTCGAAGGGGAGCTGCAGCAGGATCTCACACTCACCGTCTCCTCTACCATGACGCAATACCTCGGGCTCAACATACAAGAAGAGGAGAACGCGATCTACCTCAGCGCCGCGAAATACGCTAACACCATCGTCAAGCGCTTCGGACTAACCCCGCCGATATCTCCACGCCATATCGCTACACCGCCGGAAATCACAAGGAAACCTCTGCTCCGCTCAAGCCCGCCGGCATACGCGACTACCAGCGAAAGCTGGGATGCCTCCTCTTCGCAGCCGTCACCTGCCGACCGGGTCTATCGTACTCACCAAGCCAACTCACCACCTACCTCAAGAAACCTGAAGTAGAGCACATGGCGGAGCTCGACCGCGCACTCCACTACCTCGTCAGCACCCCAACAATCGGCCTAACCTACCACAAGACCGGAACCATGACGCCCAAGCTAATCGGCTACGTCGATGCTGATCATGCTGGCGATTCTGACAACAGGCGCTCACGCACCGGCTACATCTACCGACTCGAGCCTATCGGACCTATCTCGTGGCAGTTGAACAAACATGAACTAATCGCTCTCTCCTCAGCTGAAGCAGAATATATCGCACTCTGCTCAGCCACCAAAGAAGGATTGTACCTTCGCGAACTGCTGGAAGAAGCGAAGCTAGCCCAGTTACCCAGCTTCTCCCTGTTCTGCGACAACCAGTCAGCAATTCGCATAGCGAACAATAACGGATTCGTGAACAGGACGAAGCACATCGCCCTGCGATACTTCTTCGTGAAAGACGAGATCGAGAAGGGGAGACTCGAGCTGTCCTACTGCCCCACGTCTGAGATGGCAGCCGGTTACTTGACCAAGAAGCTCGGAAAGCAGAAGTTCAAGTACTGCATGCTGCTGACCGGACAAGGCCACGTCACCAACAACGACACTCCAGAAGCGAAGGGGAGTGTTGGAAGCAAGTAACTTAAACGCTCCTGATGGGTCGGAACATCGAACTGAAAACGAAGCGAACTACAACGAAGCAACGGTGAGTCAACCAAAGAGGTTGACAGAACGTAACTGCTAGAGGTTACGCGAAGGTCAAAGGTCAAGCGACAAATACAGCACGACAGCAAGGACAAACAACTGACTCGTTATTGAGCAGTTGCCTGAGTCGTCACTGTATCGAACCGCAACAGCAACAGTAAAGCGGTTATTGCATCCCTTCATATTCCTTGTAATCCTATGAAAGCTTGTATTACTTTTCTATAATCAATCTATTTTGCCCTCACATACTAGCGCAAGGTGGTTCAACATTTGTCATTAAACGTTTCCGCAGTTACAATATTCCTACGGAGAGTTCTAGCCTTGAAAGATCCTAAGGGCTTTTCTCAGCCCAACATTTTTTACTGGCCTTGTGACCCCTTCTTCTCCCCCACTTTGCCTATGGGGGTGTGTCAAACTATATTTGTGCTAGCTCTGTGTAGGCTATAGTGGGGTAGCCCATATGGGATACAACCCAATGTTAGGGTTAGTACTTGTACCCACGATTCATTCAATGCAGTCATTCCTGCTCATTAGTCTGTGACAGTATGCAGCTGTGGGTGGTAGTAGGTGGCTGTTGACGGCTCTAGTGCGTTGCCGCTGCTTCTGCTGCTGCTGCTGCTGCTGGTTGCACTGGTATGCAGTGGCTACGGAGGCCGCGCGCTAGCTGCTGCTATGCGTCGGGAGTTGGTGCTGGCGCGCGAGGTGAGGCAGTAGTAGGGGCAGCGTAAGTAGGGGCAACGGCCACTGCAGTTGCTAGCGCGCTGGCGGAAACCTAACTTGCTATTGGCGTATTACAGCGTGCTGCTGCAGCTGCGTGCGCGCTAGCGGTGGCCTAACTTAGATACTGGCGCATCACAACGGCTGCGCGCATAGCTGGCGTATGTGCAAACTAGCCGCTGGCAGCGACCTAAGGCAGCGATGCATTAGGCAGTAGTAGCGCGACGAGCGACGCAAACTTGACAGATGGCAGGAGCGCGACAAACGGCACGGCGATGGCTATGCGAGGCTCGAATCAAGGGGCCGCAGAGGACGTGCGGGGCGCACATCGAGGGCCCTACGGGACGCGAAAGGGGGCCTTCGAGGCGCGAAAAGGAGGGGGCCTTCGGGGCGCGAATCAAGGGGCCTTCGAGGGTCGTCTACAGGGCGACAAGGGGACCCCTGGGGGTCGTAAAAGGGGCAAACCGGGGGACCCACTGGGGTAATTTGAGAGGCTGCCGACATGCGCGCTAAGGACAGTAAGGCGGACCGAGCGGTGGGTTAGGTTCCTAAATACTAACTAGCGATGTTAATAGCTCAAAGTAGCACTTAGCGAAATGATTATAATGGTTGGAAAAAGGGTGCAAGTAAGAATGTCGAGATAAATACTATACACTATACTATGTACCTCACGGTGGCCTAACTTGTCTAGCATATACGTAAATATGATTTGACACTCGCGCTGCGGTGCGGAAAATGTCGAGGCGCAGGGCCGGCCGCGTGTTACCATCCGAGCCGGGTGGTTTGGGTGCGATGGCGGGCAATGTAGATGCGAATGTCGCGAGGTGGTAACAGACTACTGTTGTGTGTTTAGTGGAGGGATTAGACTTGTACGCGGTAGGAAGTGTGACGCGAAGGAAGGAATGTTCCCATACCGAAATTAGGGAGAGCTCTTATGTATCCCAAGTCCCAGGAGGGACAGCCTCGGCGGCGCTTTTCTGGAGGAAAGCAGCTCCGGCGCCTACACGTGGAGACGGGATCGTGACTAGCTGGCTCGTTGGCAGTCGTTTCCCCCACCCTTGGCCCAACATCGAGGCTGCAGGCGTCCACGTCGGACTGGCATCTTTGAGCTTCCCCGACAAACAATCTGCTGCGGAAAGATCTGGGACGGGAGGGAGTTCTGCGGGTGTGATGCTGCTGTACAAGACACCTTTCCCTTCCCAACCCAATGCTTGAGGGTGTGGGGGGAAGGGTGCGGGTGTAGCACCGAGGTGCGGAGGAAACCCGCCCATGCTGCCAACCTCGAGCGCGTTCCGCCAGAGGTGGTGCGCCCTTGGGCGCGCAGGCAGCGGCGCTGCAGTTTGGGTTGAGAGGCCAATTCCAGTCGAAGCCCCTGTCACGAATAACTGGGGGAATTCCCCCTCCCATCCAACCCCCCATTCACCTCCGTAAAGCCCTCTCGATTCCACGCCCAGGTCTGTAATAACTGTTCTGTCCTCGCCTCGGGCCTTTTCACTTTCCATATCCCCTCATCACTCTTTCATGCGGAGGCAAGCCCATCCGCCTGAATAGACGTACTCACATCCGTACCGTACCTTCCCTTCATCCAACCTTGGCTTGTCGCGCCATAACTTCCATCGAGCTGTCAGGTGTACTGTACCGCGGCGCGCAATGGCCAGTCTAAACGCTGTTCTGTTGCCCAAGGCGGCAACCGCCTCCGCATCAATCTCGGCGCTCACTCCGCGGGCCCTCGGCAGCAAGTCGCACATTGCACAGTCGCTGCCCGTTAGGTCTCCCGCGTCTCGCGCTCCATCGCACGCGCAACTCGCGCCGCGATGCGTGCAGGCGGCCGAACCGCCGCTAACGGTGCCTAAAGCGTCGTCGAGCCCGGCGGAGCCGTGGTCGCCGGGCAGCTGGCAGACGCGCAAGGCGTGGCAGCAGCCCGAGTACCCCGACAAGGCGGCGCTCGCCGCCGCGCTCGAGGAGCTCGAGCGGTGCCCGCCGCTGGTGTTCGCGGGCGAGGCGCGCGCGCTGGAGGAGAAGCTGGGGGAGGCGGCTCTGGGGAAGGCGTTCCTGCTGCAGGTGAGGACGTGACTGGCGACCGCGAGTCGGCGAGCTTGAGCTTGAGCAGGGATTTACTGTCAAAGGCCGCGTCTTTTCTTTTGGTCAGCACCCTCGATCCGTCACGTTCTTTTGAAAGTGTCAATCAGCCAAAGGTGTCATATTTCCTTCCTTTTTGGATCTCCGTCGTTGTCCCATCGCTTCCCGCTTCCTCTGTTTCCCTCTTGTGACTGCTCGCCTTACCTCGACTCCGCCACTTACCCCTCCCCCTCTTCATTGACTCCCCTCCCCGTTCCTCCGGCAGGGCGGCGACTGCGCGGAGAGCTTCAAGGAGTTCCGCGCGGACAACATCCGCGACACCTTCCGCGTGCTGCTGCAGATGGCCGTCGTCCTCACCTTCGGCGGCCAGATGCCCGTCATCAAGGTGAGCTCACGTCATCAAGGTGAGCTGACGTCACCGAGGTGAGCTGACGTCATCAAGCTGCGATTCCGTCATCTTTTACGGCGCGCGCAGATGTCGTTGTCAAGGTGAGATGCCGTCGTAAAGTCATCAAGGTCAGGCTCGCGCAGATAACGGCCAGCAGTGTCAGACGCGCGTAGAGGACGGTCGTTTGTGCAGAGACGGAAGTTGGCAAGAAAAGCGCGTGGATGTTCGTTGTCAGGGAATGATGCGGAGAAGCAAAAGACAAAGGCGTGCGAGGTGAATCGAAAATATGAAGAGAACCCAACGTTGTCTGCAGCCCTTCGTTTGTCCCTAGTCACTCTCCGTTGGTGGTTCGGCGCTCCCGCTTCGGTTATCTCACGTTCACGCGGTCGTCGCGTTTTCGTGCCGTCACGTGGGCAGCACCGCGGACATCGCAGCGGCCTTCTCGTGACTCATCATACCTCTAGTACACTGCATGGGCTTATAGTTGATTTGAAGTTGTACCTTTTTCCCAATCTGTCGCTGCCCCACCTTCCTCGCTGTCCCCTTTCTAATCCAGAATCTCTTTCCGTCCCCTCCTCCCCGTCCCCTCCCCCTTCCCCCTTCCTCATTCCCCCTTCCCCCTTCCCCCCACCTCCCCCCGCGCCATTTCCGAGGGCAGGTTGGGCGCATGGCGGGGCAGTTCGCCAAGCCGCGTTCCGACCCCCTGGAGACGCGCGGCGACGTGAGCCTGCCGTCGTACCGCGGCGACAACATCAACGGCGACGCTTTCACACCCGAGTCGCGCGTGCCCGACCCGCAGCGGCTGGTGAAGGCGTACAGCCAGGCGGCGGCGACGCTGAACCTGCTGCGCGCGTTCGCGACGGGCGGGTACGCGGCGATGGAGCGCGTGAGCAAGTGGGAGCTCGCCTTCATGGAGAACCAGGAGCAGGCCTCAAGGTGAGTTGTTGGAGCTTGCGATTGGGCAAGTCCTTGGCGCCTTGCGCTGGATAAAGCTGTTGCTTTGCACCGACCTTTTGGTGAGTCGGTATTCTCGAGCTGAGTCTGCGAGCAGGTCGATAGTAACGGCGCGCGGGAGTAACCCCTGAGTCAAGGTTTGTGTTATCGCGATGCGCATTCATGCCACCTTCGCCAGAGTTTCTCGAAACGGAGATGCCAGACGTCCAGGTGAGCCAGCAGGCATCCAGGGGGGCTGCTAGTAGCCTTATTTAACGGGGACACGAGGCCGTGCTGTGAGCTGAACGAACCACAAATAGACGACGCTGATTGAATTCGAGGTGGCGCTGGTCCTTGCTTGCTTGGGAGGGCGAGGCGCGTTGCAATGAATGCGAGTGAAGTCACCCTTTTTCCTTCCCAAAGGTCCGCAGATTGAACAGGTGGAGGAGGCGAAGGGCATCAGCCTGTCGCTCGCCACTTCACTTGGCAAAGCCGCGCCTTGCCCGTGTCATCGTTACGAACCACTTGGCTGCTCACCCGCACAGCGCGCCAGCGTGTGATACGGTGCGCGCCAGCGTGCGCGGGGCACAGCGCGCCAGCGTGCGTTTGAGTCGCTACAGCATGCGCTGAAGACGCACTGCACGACACAGCCTTGGCTCCACTGCCACTGCCATCATGTGCGCGTATCCACTTTCCATTCACATCCTTCTCAGAACGACTTTCTGAGTGATCCCCTAAGACCCCTTTCTCCCCCTCCCCCTACCATCCCTTCCTACCCCCCTTTCTCCCTTCCTCCGCTCCTCCTCCCCCATCCTCTCTCCCCTGGCCGCGCGCGCGCGTGGCAGGTACGAGGAGCTGGCGTCGCGCGTGGATGAGGCGCTGGGGTTCATGGCGGCGTGCGGGCTGACGGCGGAGCACCCCAGCATGCGCTCCACCGACTTCTTCACGTCGCACGAGTGCCTGCTGCTTCCCTACGAGCAGGCGCTCACCCGTATCGACTCCACCACCGGCCGCTGGTCAGCTCCCCTCCCCACCCAACCCATCCGCTCGCCACCCGCCGCCCGCCCCCTCCTCACTTAAAGCCCGCCCCTTCCTCACTTGCCGCCCGCCCCTTCCTCACTTGCCACCCGCCCCTTCCTCACTTGCCACGCGTGTCTTCTGCACTTGCCCCACGCCCGCGCCTCCTCACGCCCCCTGCTTGAACCCCTCAACCTCCTAGTATGAACGCATCGGATGTGGCGAGGATGCTACGCGTGGTCCCAGTGCAACTGCTGCCTCGTGAGAACAGTCAGTTGGATTGGCATTGGCGGAGCTCTGGTGCGCACTGGAGTGGCCCCAAGTCCAACTCCTGTCACTCCTCTCCCCTCCGTAGCCTGTCGCTCGTCGTTTGACCTCTTTGAAGTCAATCCCTTTCCCCCCTGCCACTGCCTAGGTGAACGTCATACTGGGTGGTTGAGAGAACTCGCCAGAGGCACCTCAACGCGTAGCTCCCATCACCCCTTACTGAACCGCTCTCCCTTGCTCGCCCCATTTCTCAATCGTCCCCACACTTCCCTGCCATCCCCCCTCGCCACCCTCACCCCACATCACACCAGGTACGACTGTTCGGCGCACTTCATCTGGGTGGGCGAGCGCACACGGCAGCTGGACGGCGCACACATTGAGTTCCTCCGCGGCGTCGCCAACCCCCTCGGCATCAAGGTGCGCACGCTCTGCCATGCCATGCACTCGGTTATCACATGGGTTCTCACTCTAACAGGCTCTCATGCCACACCCAGCAGCGGCAGCGGTAGTCCCATGCGAGAATGTGTTGGGGGTGGGAACTGGTTGGCAGTTGCAGTGGTGCGCCGTGCTGCCGTTAGTGGAGTGCCAGTACTGGTGGGGTGGACCCTGTACTCACCAGTGCCTCCAAAGTATCCCCTCTCCCCTATACACCCCCAACCACTTATTCTCTCGACCTGCGTCTTATCCTGGCTGCATCTCCCTCTGCGCCCACGGCACAGGTGAGTGACAAGATGCCCCCGCAGGACCTGGTGGAGGTGTGCCACATCCTCAACCCCGACAACCGCCCCGGCCGCCTCACAGTGATCGTGCGCATGGGCGCGGAGAAGCTGCGCGAGAAGCTGCCGGCGCTGGTGCAGGCGGTGGAGCGCGAGGGGCTGGTGGTGACGTGGGTGTCCGACCCCATGCACGGCAACACCATCAAGGCTCCCAACGGCTACAAGACCCGCGACTTCAACTCCATCCGGGTGAGCCACAGGGGGGGGTGGGGGTGTGTGTGTGTGTGCTTGAATGTGTGTGCATGATTGTGTGTAGGTGTGTGTGTATATGTGTGTGTGTGTGTGTGTGTGTGTGTGTGTGTGTGTGTGTGTGTGTGCGTGCGTGCGTGAGTGCGCATGCTCATCTGCAGTTGTCTCCATGCGTGTGAGCTTTTTTTTTGGAGGTGGATTGCCTCGGCCTGACACACGAGGCAAGGCACCACACAGCAATACGCTTGGATTACCCATGGCTCATGCTCTTTCGCTCATTCAACCTCCCTCCCGGACCATCACCTTCCCGTCCCCATCAGGCGGAGCTGAGGGCGTTCTTTGACGTGCATGAGGAGCTGGGAACACACCCAGGGGGAGTGCACCTGGAGATGACGGGGCAGAACGTGACGGAGTGTGTGGGCGGCACCAAGGAGGTGACCTTTGACGACCTGTCGTCGCGCTACCACACGCACTGCGACCCGCGCCTCAACGCCTCCCAGAGCCTCGAGCTCGCCTTCCTCATCGCTGACCGCCTCCGACGAGGCCGCGGCAAGCCCTCGCTCTGGCTCCAGGAGTGATGAGGGGGAGTGGTTGCTCTAGGTGTACGCCTGGGGAGGGGAGGGGTGGGTGTGTAGGGTGACATAGATGTGGGTGCCATGAGATTTGCAAGGGGACTAGGGTCTCTGTAATGTTTTGATTAGTTGCTGGGAGACTGTATCTTGTACACTGAGGTTTGCTCGTTATTGCAAGGAATGAATGGATCATAGCACCCAACAAGACTCTGGAGATGTGCATGCCTTGTGCGCTGTGTCCTGAGGATGGTTCACCCTGTCATCCAGAGGAGTGTCTCAACCAGACAGGCTCCCACGGCAGTCGACGCCGTCAACCACCGTCGACCTGACCGGCGGATAGAAAAGGCCTAAAACCCTATTGCCATCCGAGGGAGGCATCAACCCTAAACACATGCCTCCCTGTGTTTAGGGTTGATGCCTCCCTAACCGGATAAAAGCCCGAATGGGTATTTCTTCTGCCCGTGGGCAGCAGGATCCGCCGGGCGGATTCGCTTGTCGGTTGAGCTATATCATGAGGTGTCCACCATTGGCAGCCAATTTGAAAATGGGCCATTAAACGCAGGCGATGCTACTTTTACACATGAAAACAGGTGCTTTGTCAGACATTGCATCGCAGCACCAAGCATTTTAGATCATTACACGACATACAACCAGGAAATGGTGATGACTCCAATGCTCCAGGCTACTCTCTAGGCACGAGAGGTGCCTGTCCGACTAGGCAGCCGATGCTCTTAGCCGACTCAGAATGAGAGGTGCCTGGGTGGGGCAGCCCTAGAAGCCGAGGAGCTGCTGGGACTTGCGCATGAGGAAGGGTAGTGTGGAGGGGTGGAACTTGCGCGCAAAGAGGAAGCAGTTGCGCGGCTCCCCCCCCAGCACACAATGCCCGTTGCCCACCGCCTGGTGGGGAGAGCCACTCACGGGTGGACGGGGAGCGGGAGAGGCGAGCTTTGAGTCGACTCATGGGCCGTTTGGGAAAGGGAGAATTACGTGCGGGCGAGGAGAAGGAGAGGCGCGGAGGGAGGAGCATGCAGTGTGTGGATGGGTGGCGGAGGACTCACCAGAGGAGGCTGCGGTGCAGAGGGGTTGGTTATCTGCGCACATGGGAGGGAAGGGGCCAATGGTGGGGGGTGGCGCATAACAGGAGGCGGGGGAGTGGAGAGGAGATGTGGGATGGGTGGGGAAGGAAGACGCATATTGTGTGGATCGAGTTGAGATGCATACATGGCGGGTGCACCCAACCATTGGTGCACTGCACGCACATGCATGATGCCAACAAGACATGCATGATGCCAACAAGACATGCATGATGCCAACAAGACATGCATGATGCCAACAAGACATGCATGATGCCAACAAAGGAACGGCACACACACACACGCACATACATACAAAGGCAACACACGCACACGCATACAAGGGAACGGCACGCACATGGGAGTAGTTGGACTTGAAGTCCTGCCAGAAAGAGCGATAGGTGATGAACTGCCTTGCCGTCTGCCGCAGGCGTGCCGGGAGAGAGGAGGACGCAGGGCAGTGGCGAGGGGAGATGGCACGTTGAGGGCATTGGAATTCCAGGGAGATGGCACGTTGAGGGCATTGGAATTCCAGGGAGATGGATCGATGACACAGCAGATGGCAAGCGACACATAGCATTTACTGCAGGCTGCGAGAGGGGGTGGACATGTAAGCAGCAGAGAGCACAGGAGGCGTGTCCGTGACAGGCGGCAGGCAGAGAGTGAGGGGACCTTGATGGTGGTGATGACTTGGTCTGTCATGTTGGCGCCCAGGTAGAGTGAGGGGTGCCAGTCGTTGGCACTCCAGTCCGTGAACGTGGTGGGGTAGCGCGATATGCCGCGAGGGTCTGTCATCTGCGCAGCAGCATGGCAGGGAAGGCCATGGCGTGGTGTGGGGGGGAGAATGCAGGGAGGAGCGTGGCAGGGGAGACATTGCAGGGGGAGGGGGGCCATGGTATGTGGGGCGTGGGTGAGATGGCATGAGGGGGTTGATGCATGAGCGGGTCGATGCATGCATGAAAGGGCCTCTTAGAAGAGCGATTTTCCCTTTCCAACTGCAAGAGTGCACATGGGTGGTGCGAGCGAATCAAGTGAGCGGGGGTGTGGAGCGTGACACCCACATGCAAGAAGGTTTGAATGTAATGCTCATCCGCACAGCACAGCTTGCCCCACTGCAACCGAAACTGCACACACGCACACAGGTGCAGGGGTCACACGGATGGGAGACGGAAAATGAGAGACGAGGTGTGCATGGGGCATGCGAGGGTCATGAAAGAGGGCTGGTCACGGGACAGCGACAGAAGATGCATGTGAGGGAGAGGTTGTCACGGCCCGCATGATCTAGAATAGCAGCGGAACGGAGGAGGCTGTAACACGCAGAGACGAAGGGGGGCAGGGAAAAAGGGGGTGGACTGACGGCGCAGCTGAGGTTGTGCTTGGCGTAGTGCAGCGTGTCCCCCACCACCGCCTCCGCATGCCGCCGCTGCAAGATGAACCACTGCCTCCATGCGGTGCCACGCGGTGTGATGTGGTGGGATGGGATGGGAGTTCATTCGGTGATGTGCATCCAACACGTGCCATGCATGCGCATTGATGCGAATGAAATCAGAGTGTGAAAGATATGCAAGGCAAGGCAATGACAGGAGCACACACAGTTCTTTAAATGTCAAAACTTTGGAGTCATGGCGCAGATATACACATAAGAACAGCAACAATATAATACATGAGTGTGCATTGCGCCTAACACGAAAACAGGTACACTAAGTACATGTAGAACAAGACAATAAGCATTCTATCAAACCTGGCTTGAGTGGCACCGCACCTGGTTGCCTGTGAGCCACACTGCACCGCACCTGGTTGCCTGTGAGCCGCACAGCACCGCACCTGGTTGCCTTTGAGGAACTGGTGGCGGCGGATGACGGGCATGAAGATATGCGGGATGTACCGCCCGAACGACGTGCTGTAGGGGTCCGCGTACCTGCCAGCGGTGGACAGGGAGTGGGGGAGCACACAGTGGTGAATCCGGATCAGGGAAGCAGCACAAGCGGTGAATCCGGATCAGGGAAGCAGCACAAGCGGTGAATCCGGATCAGGGAAGCAGCACAAGCGGTGAATCCGGATCAGGGAAGCAGCACAAGCGGTGAATCCGGATCAGGGAAGCAGCACAAGCGGTGAATCCGGATCAGGGAAGCAGCACAAGCGGGCGGCGTCATGCTTCATGATCAAGCCGTTGGGCAACCATGTGGCATCCTTGCAGGCACATCCGTACCATGTGACACTCACAGTGGAGTGGATGTGCACACATACACACAACATCGCCGAAAAGAGAAGGAAGAGCAGCAGGGGGTGGCAGAAGGGAAGAGGAGGAGGAGAGGGCTGGAGGGGCGGAGCGGCACTGACGCGTCAACGAAGCTGGCGGAGGAGGAGGCGATGTAGCTGTACACATAGTCAAACGGCCACAAGGGTATGCAGCTGTTGCCCGCCCAGCCAGGTATGAGGCGTGTGGGGGGAATGGGCACGCGGGAAGAGCAGGGGGGAAAGGGTATTAGAGAGGGCATGGAGAAAAGGGCCACTGAGGGATGCAGGTGATGCCCGCCACAGGGGAATGGGCTTGGGGGGAAATGGCATGCAGCGAACGGGGCAGGAGAGAAATGGCATGCAGCGAACAGGGCAGGAGAGAAATGGCATGCAGCGAACGGGGCAGGAGAGAAATGGGGGGCTTTGGGTGTAAGCCCAGGGAGGGTTCTGGCACAAGTGCGTGGGATATAAGGGAAACACGTTATGAATGAGAGTCGGGAATGGGGGATTGCGCCCCGGGATAGAGGCCACGGTTGAGCAACACAAGGGTGGTTGGTGTTGGAACGTGGCACGTGCATGGGTGGATGGCAGGAGTGTGAAGCAAGCACGCCAAGGGAGTGAGAGGTGCAGCAGGCATGCCTGGCATGAGAGGAAAGGCGCCCCTCACAGACACAAGCCTCTACTCATGCACCTCAGCAACACATCGTGCCTCCCCACCACAACTCACCCCTCACCCATTGCCCCTCCCTCGCCCCTGCCCCCTGGCCCGTCACGTGGGCACACCTCTCACCTCGCTCCCCACCTCTCACCTCGCTCCCCACCTCTCACCTCGCTCCCCACCTCTCACCTCGCTCCCCACCTCTCACCTCGCTCCCCACCTCTCACCTCGCTCCCCACCTCTCACCTCGCTCCCCACCTCTCACCTCGCTCCCCACCTCTCACCTCGCTCCCCACCTCTCACCTCGCTCCCCACCTCTCACCTCGCTCCCCACCTCTCACCTCGCTCCCCACCTCTCACCTCGCTCCCCACCTCTCACCTCGCTCCCCACCTCTCACCTCGCTCCCCACCTCTCACCTCGCTCCCCACCTCTCACCTCGCTCCCCACCTCTCACCTCGCTCCCCACCTCTCACCTCGCTCCCCACCTCTCACCTCGCTCCCCACCTCTCACCTCGCTCCCCACCTCTCACCTCGCTCCCCACCTCTCACCTCGCTCCCCACCTCTCACCTCGCTCCCCACCTCTCACCTCGCTCCCCACCTCTCACCTCGCTCCCCACCTCTCACCTCGCTCCCCACCTCTCACCTCGCTCCCCACCTCTCACCTCGCTCCCCACCTCTCACCTCGCTCCCCACCTCTCACCTCGCTCCCCACCTCTCACCTCGCTCCCCACCTCTCACCTCGCTCCCCACCTCTCACCTCGCTCCCCACCTCTCACCTCGCTCCCCACCTCTCACCTCGCTCCCCACCTCTCACCTCGCTCCCCACCTCTCACCTCGCTCCCCACCTCTCACCTCGCTCCCCACCTCTCACCTCGCTCCCCACCTCTCACCTCGCTCCCCACCTCTCACCTCGCTCCCCACCTCTCACCTCGCTCCCCACCTCTCAGCTCCCCACTCTCACTCGCTCCCCACCTCTCACTGAGCAGCGCGAAGAAGCTGTTGGCCTCGTCCTGCACCGCCGCCTCCAGCAGGCGCCTCTCCGCATCCACCATCGACATCTCGCCCCACCGCACCTGCCACGCGTGCACGCATGGACAGTCACACGTGGCATGAGTCTAGTTTCGAGGCACCTCAAAAAAAGCCTCCAGCAGGCACCTCTCCGCGTCCACCATTGACATCTTGCCCCACCGCACCTGGTGCACGTGAGAGCAGATGGCATGGCAGTGTTGCGAGCAGGAGAGTGCATGGGGTTGCACACGGGAGCCACACAGGCAGAGGCACAAAGGCAGAGGCACACAGGCAGAGGAATACAGGCAGAGGCACGCAGAGGAGAGCAACGAAAGGCAGCTACTTGTTGATGTCCGATTGATCTGATACCACCCCCCATGCCCATCACCCCCCATGCCCATCACCCCCCATGCCCATCACCCCACATGCCCATCACCCCCCATGCCCATCACCCCCCATGCCCATCACCCCACATGCCCATCACCCCCCATGCCCATCACCCCACATGCCCATCACCCCCCATGCCCATCACCCCCCATGCCCATCACCCCACATGCCCATCACCCCACATGCCCATCACCCCCCATGCCCATCACCCCCCATGCCCATCACCCCACATGCCCATCACCCCCCATGCCCATCACCCCACATGCCCATCACCCCCCATGCCCATCACCCCCCATGCCCATCACCCCACATGCCCATCACCCCACATGCCCATCACCCCCCATGCCCATCACCCCCCATGCCCATCACCCCACATGCCCATCACCCCCCATGCCCATCACCCCACATGCCCATCACCCCCCATGCCCATCACCCCCCATGCCCATCACCCCCCATGCCCATCACCCCACATGCCCATCATCCCATGGCGCACAAGGCTCACCTCTCCACCCGGCACGAGGCGGCCGCGGAAGAGGGGCGAGGAGCCGGGCGGGAAGGAGAAGGACGTGTTGGACGCATGCACGTATATGGCATAGCGCCCCTCGTGGCCCTGGGGGGGGATGCGGGGAGGAGGGGGAGCGGGGAGAAGGGGGGAAGGAGGGGGACGGGAAGCAGGTCGGTGGAGGGGGGAGAGGGGAAGAGGGGGAGGGGAGGAAGTGAAAAGGGACGTTTGGGGGGGAGGGGGAGGGAGAGTGTGTACAGGAGGCTGGGGGGGGAAGGGGGTTCGACACGGTGCGATAGAGGGCGATATGCATGTGATGTGAGTGGCAAGACAGGAAAAGGCGTCCATAAATCCCAAGAGAATACCTAGTACCGCTCATGCAATCGACATGCCACTTTTTGCGTCGCGCATGGGGCATGGCGCATGAGGCATGGGGCATGGCGCATGTGGCATGGGGCATGGCGCATGTGGCATGGGGGGACGCACGATTGGGGAGGCACGAGGGGGGAGGCACGAGGGGGGAGGCACGAGGGGGGAGGCACGAGGGGGGAGGCACGAGGGGGGAGGCACGAGGGGGGAGGCACGAGGGGGGAGGCACGAGGGGGGAGGCACGAAGAGGGGGGCCGCAGGGGGGAGTCGCATGAGGCAGCGACGCACCCGGAGGAATTTCTCCCAGAGCGGAGCGAGGGGGATGGGGCCGCGCGTGAGGAAGAGCAGCGCGAGGCTGCCGCGGTGCTCCCGCAGCTGCGACCACACGCCGCCCACCTGCGCCGCCCCCGCCTGCTCCACCTGCTCCGCCTCCTCCACGCTTATATCGAACGGCGACAAAAAGGGGGACAGCACGGAGATGATGAAGGGGAGCTGCGAGAGGAGCAGCAGCGACGCGGCGAAGACCACGATGAGCGACACGAACACGCGCTGCACGTGGCGCGACGGCGATGATTTGGAGTCTCCGCCGGCACCCTGCTGTGCGAGAGGCGCGAGGGGCGACGCGCCATGAGGCGGGCCACGAGGCGACGGGCTGGCGTCAGCGGCGGCGTGCGCGGGAGTGGGGCTGTGCAAGGGAGCAAGGTGGCGCGCTGGCGGCGGTGGTTCGTGTGAGGGCGCGTGCGGGGGCGAGAGGGGGGTCGATAGCGCGATGACGGATGGCGACACAACACTGCCGGAGAAGGGCGGTGTTTGTGTGCCGCGTTGAGCAGGGCTAGCGGGGGGCGCGACTTGGCGAGCGCTGCTCGCCGCCCTCCTCTCCGCCTTCAGCAGCCGCTCCGCTTCCCGCTCGTGCATCGCTGCGCGGAGAATTCTCTATCGCTATTAATAGCACGATTGGTCCACGGGTGCGTGCTCGTGGTTCTAGCGATACATGTTGGAGGCGGTGGAGTCACCTATTTGCGAAATATAATAATTTGGACACATGCTCGCTACATGTAGAAAGACTCTGGAAAGGATCCCATCATTACGTTAGCGACAAAAAAACTAATTACAAACGACGTCGTACTCGTGATTCCACGCCGTACTATCGCGAGTCGTCCTACACCGTACGAGTCGCTAATTCAGTAGCACGTTAGTGTGTGTGACACAAGCTGACGAGCTGTTGTGTGATAGCGTTTCTAACTAGGAAGGAAGCAAGGTATGGTTATTCTGGTTCGGGTTTCTGCAGGAGGGCGGAGGGTTTGCACCCGAACCTCATAGATTCGGTTGTAGGACATGCGACGCGACGGATGCGGTTGGTGGTGAGGGCAGGCTTGGCAGGACTTTTGGGATGGCTGAAAAAAGCTGTTTTTTCAGTACAGATGTTCTGGCTTAGAAGCCCTTCCTAAGAGAGCCCATTTTCCCCGTCTTGTAGATTTTTCATATATTTCCTGCGTAAAGCCCCTCCTCTACAGTCCCCTTTTTGGCGGGAAATTATGCAGCTTGACTGAGGATCAGTTCCGCAGCCAATCAGAGGGCCCAAATCGAACCAGCCCCGGAAAATGCGAGGGAAGGAAATTTCGTTTTGATATTTAAATGTGAAACTATTTCTGATTATTTCTCTTGACTGCGCTTACTTCTCAATCCCGTCGAGCGTTTCTCTGCGCGCTCGACGATGACAGGGAAAAACAAATCATATTTCCTTTCATTAATTCCGCAAACATAAACGATTTTGTTTTTTCTGCCCGTCAGTCATGCAACACTGATGACCGTGGAGAATCTTGCGACAAGAAGTTGAATCAAGCGCATTCCGAACTGGTACGTATTGTCAGAATCCCAACCACTAGACCATTGGGATAAAAGGGCTTGTTTCAGTAGCGGGTCAGTGCGCCCATAACCCCCCAGGCAACCGCGCCTGTAACCCCCCCAAGGATCGATCGGGGATCTCACAGTGTAGCTCTACTGACACGTATATGACATGAAACACCAACCATTAGCGAAGCAAAACCGATTTCCATGCAATTTTACTGAATATGGGAGTATAGGGTCCCGTTTGCCTGTGGTTTGAAGGTTTTTCCACAAAGGCCCGCACCGCGTGTGTTTTTTACTGGGACTCTAAGCAAGAACATTTGTATGGTGTGGTGCAATCCGATGAATTCTGAGACGGTTGGTGGAGATGCGTACACCTTAACGCGTGAAGCCATGTGGAAGCAGACTTGGTACACCTAACCACCGCTATTTTCTTTCAGTCTATTTTCAACCCCACTTGCACAAGTGGGGTATGAACCTTTTCTAAATCTTTGACCGAAGGTTGTGTGGGGCATCATTAAATTTTAGCGAAAGTCTGTTCCAGATCCCCGAAGAGAGTACCGTAGAAGTGGCGCTATGGATTCAGATTCGCATAATGAGTTTAAACTTCGAGCATTAGGCGTCATTCATAGCCCCAGTCTTTTAAGTGTCGAACTGAAATAGTCGAAAATGTGCAGGATAACTTTGAAACGCGAGATTAGTGGGTTGGGTTTCCCTTTGAAAATAGCGGTGGTTAGGTGTACAAGCACTTTCCCCGACTTTCCTTTCATCTAGACTGGGTTCGGTTGGTGCACAAGTTGTCAAATTATAATGTTGTCTAGGCTTTAGTGGGGTAGCCCATATGGGGTACACATTTCTAGGGTTGCATATTTGTATCACTTTCATTCCATAGTCATTTCATTCTCGTTCTAATTTGACAAAATTAGAAGAAAGAGGAGGTTCACTAGCAAGCAGTTGGATACAAATAGCAAACCCTAACTGGGTTGTACTCGCTATGGAGCACCCCACTGCAGGCTAGATAACATAACATTCTGACACACCCCCATAGCCAAAGTGGGGTGTAATCAGCACAGTAAGCAAACCAGAACAAGCTCAGGGTGGATCACAATGTCACCACGCATTCTGAGCACAATTACAAGAAGCAACAGTTTAAAGTTCACAATTATGAGCAAAGCTAGTGGTAGTCACAGCGGGCAAGTGAGGAGGAGGAGGGACTGTGAGAGGAGAGAAGATGGGAGACGACGGCTGAAGCTGCAGATACACGGGCTACAGGAGCGGCTGGCACAGTGGCTACCGGGACAGCGCCCCGGACTACTGGAGTAACTGGCTCACGGGCTACGACGAGCTACAGGAGCAACGGACCCACGGGCGACAGGCGCAGCAGGCTCTCTGAGCTACCAGGACAGCGCCCCGGACTACAGGTGCTGCGGACGACAAGACGGCAGCCTCCTCTCAGCCTCCCCAAGCAGTCCCACACCCCCCACACACACCCCCAGTTTCACCCCTAGCTCCACTCCCAAGGCACCCCCCCTTAAACCCTAAACCCCAGTCTCCCACTCATCCACCCCCCTCAGCGACAGCTGCAGCAGTGGGAGACAAAGGAGGAGGAGCAAAGGGAGGAATGAGGAAGTGACACCCCCATACTCGCCACCCCCTGCTTGCCACCCCCAAACCCTAACACAGACAGGGTGGGATGGCGGGTAGGAAGGGTGGGATGACGGCGCTCGCCCGCCCGCAAGCGGCCCCCGAGGGTCGCCTCGACAGGCGACGGGAAATGGGGTCGGGGCGCAAGGAGGGCGGCGGGGCCACAGGTGTAGGGCGGCGGGGCCGCGAAGGTGGGGCGGCGGGGCCGCGACAGAAGGGCGGCGGGGCCGCGAAGTGGGGCGGCGGGGCCGCGAAATGTGGCAGCGGGGCCGCACCGTAAGGCGGCGGGGCCGCGACGTGAGGCGGCGGGGCCGCGAAGTGGGGCGGCGGGGCCGCGACTGGTCCCCGTCGCCCGTCGCGGCGCCTTCAGAGGGCGACGCGGCGAACGACGGGGCAGAAGCCCGCCGCGCGCCTCGGGGCGCACAGCGGGCAGAGAACCGCCGCGCGCCTCGGGGCGCACGGCGGGAAGAAAAAGTAGCAGCGGAAGCGAGGAGGTGGTAACCCACCCACAGGATCGATCCAAGGGGATCGACCTGCTCTGATAGCATGACAAAATTAGAAGAAAGAGGAGGTTCACTAGCAAGCAGTTGGATACAAATAGCAAACCCTAACTGGGTTGTACTCGCTATGGAGCACCCCACTGCAGGCTAGATAACATAACATTCTGACATAATTTCCTCATGGTATCGAGCAGGTTCCCCCGTGGGAACTGTGCCTAGGGCCCACCACATCGAGTTTTTTTTTCCTGCCCGAAGCACGCTCAGCCCGAGTCGCGCTCCGGGCTCTCACTTCGTCGAGCCGCCCTAGCGGCCCCAAACGCCCTAGCGGCCCCGCATCCCGTCGATTCGGCCCCGCCGCCCTTCGCTGCGGCCCCGCCGCCCTTCGCTGCGGCTCCGCCGCCCTTCGCTGCGGCCCCGCAGCCCTTCACTGCGGCCCCGCCGCCCTTCACTGCGGCCCCGCCGCCCGTCTCAGCGGCCCCGCCGCCTCACATTGCAGCCCCGCCGCCCTTCCCTGCGGCCCCGCCGCCTCACACTGAGGCCCCGCCGCCCTTCGCTGCAGCCCCGCCGCCCGTCTCAGCGGCCCCGCCGCCTCTCTCGCTGCGGCCCCGCTGCGCTTCTCAGCGGCCCCGCCGCCCTTCTCTGCGGCCCCGCCGCCTCTCTCACTGCGGCCCCGCCACCCTTCTCAGTGGCCCCGCCGCCCTTCACGGCGGCCCCGCCGCCCTTCACTTCGGCCCTGCCGCCCCTCCCACTGCGGCCCCGCCACCTACCTTGCGGCCCCGCCGCCCTACTATCGGCCCTACCGCCCTACACCGCCCGCGCCGCCCGAGCCGCCCGAGCCGCCCGAGCCGCCCGAGCCGCCTGAGCCGCTGAGGAGCCGAGCCGCCCGAGCAGCCCGAGCCACCCGACCTGCCCGAGCCGCCCGAGCCGCCTGAGCCGCTGAGGAGCCGAGCCGCCTGAGCCGCCCGACCCGCCCGAGCCGCCCGAGCCGCCCGAGCCGCCTGAGGAGCCGAGCCGCCCGAGCCGCTCGACCCGCCCGAGCCGCCCGAGCCGCCCGAGCCGCCTGAGGAGCCGAACCGCTGGTGCCGCGGAGCCGCAGTTGCTGCTGAGCCGTCCGAGCAGCCGTGTTGCCGTGTTGCTGTGCTACTGAGCTGCCCGAACTGCCCTGTCTGGTGAGAGCAGCGCTTCTGTCACTGCACTGCCCCTGTCCTACAGCTGGTCCTGCTAGTCTACTGTTGTCATGGCTACCCCTAGTGTCCTCGCGTTTGACGCTGAGGGTCGAGCCATTGACTTTGAGGTCTGGGTCGACGACCTGCAGCTGTTCTTACAGTGCGATAGGGCAGACGGTCTCTCTCTCTTTGACCTCACCTCTGGCGCCTCTCCTGCCCCTGCTGCTGATGCTGACCCCACTGTTCGCTCCCAGTGGGCCACGCGCGATGATGCTGCACGTCTTGCTGTGCGTCGCCACCTGCCTACCACTGAGCGCGCGCACTTTAGTCAGTACAAGAGTGCTCAGACCTTGTACGACGCTGTAGTTGCGCGCTACTCTTCCCCTGCCACTGCTGCACTGAGCCGCCTCATGCTACCGTACCTCTTCCTTGACCTTGCTGCCTTTCCCACAGTCGCTGACCTCATTACGCACCTCCGCACTACTGACACTCGCTACCGCGCCGCGCTTCCTGCTGAGTTCTGCGCCAAGAACCCCCCCCCCATGTACATCACTCTCTATTATATAGTCACCCGCCTCCCTGACTCCCTTCGTGTAGTCAGGGACCACTTCCTCTCAGTCTGTCCCACCACTCTCACTGTTGACCTCTTAGAGAAGGCCCTCCTAGCAGCGGAGAAGAGCATAGTCGCAGTAGGAGCCTCTCGTGGTGACCCTCGCACCCCCATCTTTGAGGGGTGTTCTCCTTCCCCCCTTTTGCC